AAAAAAAGAAAAAAAAAAGGCAAAGATATAAAAAGAAAGTATGCACTTTAACACACGGCGGCCATGTTTATTTTTTAAAGAATAAAAATCTTTGTTTAACAGGTATAATTTTTTCCCTAGCACTTAAAGGCAAGGCTACGCGTGTGCAAACAAAAATGACTGCCTCGTAAAAAAGGCCTATATTGGACCCCAATACAAAGTCCGAAGGGAAGTTTAAAGCATGCTTACGGACTCAATTTGCACTCTACAAGTCTTCTTCTATTTGGAAACTTTGCATGTGAAAATGGTTCAAAGAATTTAAAACCAAAAATTGATAGAAAATGAAAAGATAATAAGAATTGTAAATGTGCATTGTATGTTAAAACTCTAGAAAATCATTTATCGCTTATAAGAATCTATTAGTCTCATATGTGCAAGACTTTTAAAATATAGCATTGCATTACACTCATTACGTTTAGTCGCAAATATTGCGTATCATTATGCGATACTTCAAGTACTGATAGAAAGAATGCAACCTTGAGGATTGCGTGACATTCGTAGGACAAACTTGATGCCCTGTTAATAGGACGATCATATATCGTTTCATCGCAAATATTGCGTATCATTATGCGATACTTGTACTGATAAAAAGAATGCAACCTTGAGCATTGCGTGACACTATTATTAATATAATGAAGATATAGACTTGATACTTTTGTTAATATGCCGATCATATATTCTTTGGACTGACGAAAACTCAGTTCTAATATTAGAAATTGTGCACTCAGAATATAAAAGCGTAATTATGTACATTAGTCAGGTCACCGCGCGACAAAACGTCACGTCCCGGGTGACATAACGACATTCAAGAAGACTGAAAACCAAAATCTTAGATTCAAAAACGAATAGAGGTTTTGCACCATCACGTGACGGCAGCCATGTTAGATGGCAGGAACAATACAATCGTTTTACATGAGAAAGAATTCAATTCTCGAGTGCAAAGGGATTTTATTGTTCTGCCATCTAACCACAGGCAGTCCAAGCTATATTATGGGCGTGGGCACGTGATGGTGCAAAGTCGTGATAGTGCAAAACCTCTATAAGCGAACTTGGACTGAGGACAGGAGCCACTGGATTTGGACTAGTCAGTCGTATCCATAGGCGTTTGATTGACATCTTGACAAGACTTTTGTTCCAGGCTCTTTTTCAGTTCCCGGCCAATTGCAGCTGCTAAGGGGGGCGGTACTGCATTCCCAACCTAAAGTAAATATTTTATTAGCTGCAGATAGATCTATTCGATATACGGTTGTGGAAGTCAAATGATTAACGACAGCCGTGTCTATATTAGGAACCATATAGTAGTGATTCAGGGAAAGCAGAGAGGGAAAGGCCGAAAAGGCTAAATTATCAAGTCTCAGCCCCCGAAATTTTAGTCATTTATATGTAAGTCTACTTTATTTTTTAAATCTCAGTATTTAGGAATCTATTTAGATGAAAGTTTAAATTGGAATGTACACGTTGATGCAATGTGCAAAAAGGTTAACAAACGATTAGGTTTGATTTCTCGCATAAGATCTTGTTTAACAGTAAAAGCGTCCAAATGTGTATATAATAGCTTGATATTGCCAATACTTCATCATACAGATACAGTTTGGGGGGAACTCTCAGCTGGAAATAGCCAGCGACTCCAAAGATTGCAAAATAGGGCAGCTCGTATTATTATAAATAGGGAGAGTTCTCAGGAAGCTCTACAAATATTGGGATGGGTAGACTTAGCCAAGACAAGAAAAATGCATAAATGCATATTAGTATTTAAATGCCTTCATGGCCTAGTTCCTTCATATCTTAGTGATTTCTTTATAAGGAATAGTAGTTTTCATACATATAATACTAGAAGAAAAAATGACCTGCACTTACCTTTACYTAAATTAAGCTTAGGTAAGAAAACGTTTAAATATTCAGGATCTCTTATGTTCAATACACTACCTAGAGATATTAAGGATATTTCATCTTTAAGTATTTTTAAGAGTCGCCTAAAAAAGTATTACTTAGCTTAAAAGTTTCGTTTTT